TGTGTGTGTGTGTGTGTGTGTGTATGTGATTTTCACCACAGCGCAGCCTGTGAGTGTGTGTGTGTCCGTCGTTCTCGGTGTGGGTGTGTGTGCTTGGGTGTGTGTGCATAAATATAAATAGTTACCTCAGATTCCAGGATGGTTCGATGACAAGCATGACTGGAAATACCACTGGCGCGAATGAACAGAGAAAGAACAAAAACAAAAACAGAACAAGGGTAGTGACAAGCTGTTTTGTCAGGCTGAATCCATGACAGTCTGGAGAATCCTGAGTGAGAGTCTATGTAGGCCCTTGTTGCAGCTGGACAGCCAAGCAGGTGACAACACAAGTGATAAGGCAAAGTGGGCAGCAGTGAAGCGAAGGACGGTCAGGCGGGCTAGATGGCAGGAAGCAAAGCAACAGGACGGTCAGGCGGGCTCGATGGCCAGAAGCAAAGCAACAAGACAAGTCACAGCCAGGCACACAGTGCAGTGAGCAGACAGGTGGGCAGCGAAGCAGGCAGCAAGGCATGCAGCAAGGCGAACAGCAAGGCAACCAAGGAATGGAAGCAAGCAGGCAAGTGAGCGGCAGAGCATGCGAGCCGAGCAGCACGGGAGCAAGTGGATGGGCAGCAAGGCAACGCAAGACATACGGAAAGGTAGCCAAGCAGCAGGGCAGTGCCGACAAGACAGCCCATACACGTAGCACTGACCAAAGCAAACGATCTCCTACTCAAACCACAAGTAGAACCCTATGTACTGTAGGTTCATGTCACCATGAAGAATCATGGAGCCACTTGTCAAATGTCTGTCATCATCAGGGAACACACAGGCACACAAGCATCTCACACACAGGAGCCACACTTTTAGGCACTTCTGACGAATAGAAGCTGACGATTTGGGCGCATGGGAAAGCGCTTGGATGCACGTGAAGATCGGGGCAAACAACAGGAGAGAAATACAACCAACACGAAGTGGACAACATAAAGAGTATATTTAGAATTTAGAAGGAACAAAAGGAACAAGTGGAATCGGCAGTCATGGATTTCTTCTTACTGAGGAAAGTAAGGGTACTAGGCTCATGGACTAAATTAATCTTCAGACCAGACACAGCAGTACAAAATCTGGAATTCGACCCAGCAGAGTGGACCTGGACACCGGACAAGGAGAGGAATATCAGGGTCCATGTCCCCATAGAGAACTACACAGTTAAATTTGGATAGAAAGTATTACAAACTCCTTGTTAAAACAAAAGACCCAGATCCTATAATCAAGGCCAGATGGCAGAAACTAATAGGCCAGGAAGCTGACATATCCTTTTCCTTTCACTTCCTGCCTAATACGGCAGGAACATACTGCCTAATTCGATGGTACACTGTGGGTAATCAAGGCCATTACCTGTGGGTTTGCGCAGAAGGGGCACAAGAAGACGTGGTACACTGCCTAATTCGAGTCGTGAGGCGACAGACTACTGGACACGGGCCTTGGCCCTCTGGGACTCCCTTTTCCATCTCCCCTTCGCCGAACACCCCATCCAAATCCTTCTCTGGACTAACGTTCCTGACCAGCTCAAGAAGACAGAAACTTTATGGTTCGGCCTGATCAGGAAGGTGACGTTATGGATCATTTGGAAAGAGAGATGCTGCAGATCCATCGAAGGGCTGTC